CCTTCCTAGCTTAGGATTAATAGGAATAATTCTTCCAGCTTCTGGCTAATGTCCAGAACTTCTGGTTCTCCTTGAAATATGGGGATGAGCTGCAGCAATGTGGACCAGGGTTGAACCCAAGTAAAATGGGTGGCCCAGAAGAGAGGGGTTTTGCACAAAATTCATTTCTTGTTACTCCTGCCTTTTCTCCTTTCTTCCAGAACGTGGGAGTTAAGTGGGAAAGCCAGACAGATAGAAGAGATGCAAAGAGCATTGCAGCTGTAGAGAGCTTACAGAGAGTCAGCTCTAGAGGGGAGCTAGTTGTTCACAGCAAGGAGAGGGTAGCTTTAAGTTAATTCTTAAGACCTAACACATCAGTTCACAGAATGGGGCAGGGACCCTAAGAGTCTGGGACATACATAACCCATGTGCGAAAGGATCAGGGTTTAATTTTGATTGACATGATACTGACACATCAATTTAATTTGCTCTTGCAAGTCCCTAAGAAAGTCAGAGTAAGTACTTGGTCGAATCCATTCATTATTTAACCTAAAAATGTAAAATCCATTCCATTTATGCTGAAACACCCCCCCCACCCCCACCCCCAGTCTGTTGTTTCTGTGGCTCTTTTATCCCAGACTAGGCAGGGCTATTTTCAGACACGCATTCTGTTTTCATTATCCAAGTAATCTTTAAAAATGAGATAGAAGCAAACGTTTTGCAGTGGATGGAAATGACTGAAAAGTTTGTGAAAATATGTAGTTTCTGAGAAGAGATCCAATATTCGCTTTGCATTTCGCCTGGTACATGACTCAGCTTTTGTTTAAAATAAGGAACTGCTCTGTTTAAGTAAGTTGTGCCTTTAAACTGTCACGATGAGAGCTGGCACAGTTATTATAAATATGCTAATATTGCTCACAGTCTTTTTAGATGACTTTTTAGAATTAACGTCAGGTTCATTTTGAATTATCTAAGAAAAATTTTATTATCGCCTAATTACGCATCATTTTGACTCCCACACATGAGTTGCT